TTCATTTGTATTTGCTGCCGGTGGCAATTGCGAGCTATACTTAGCTATACTTGGCTATACTTAGCATTCTTTCCCTTATATCCCTTCCGCCCTTGCGTTACCTTAATAGGGAATCCCTCTTTCGTCACTATTTGGATTTGCAATTACGGTTTTACACCTTGCTGCGATCGAAGCACTTGCCTCCTTTTCATAGGCATTTGCATGATTTATCCATTGATCCCGTTCATCCCTTGAATATCGGGTCCTCATACTCGTCATCCCTCCGGGTCTTCGAATATTCCGGACTCCTTGAAAGGAAGTCTGTTTGGATTCTGTTTATAGTTTTTTTTGATTACTTGTTAATATTGTTTTTTGTGTTTGTATGTCTTCAAAGTTCCTAAATCCTTTCCCCTCTCCTGGCATTCCAAGCCCTCAACCTCCTTGGGCGCATTCCAAACATTCAATCCCTATACTCTATACTATCCTTGAGCCCCAATTGACCTAGATCGTATAGGATCAATCCCAGCCTCTGACGATCCGATCCCTCCCCTCCATCCTTGATTATCCAACGCCACTTGCCCTTGATACTTGTCTTTGCTTGGTTGGATTCACTGAACGATGTCCATTGCAACTATCGAATAAACGCCTTCGGTCAGTGACCACAGCGGATTGGAGAAGAAATTATTCAGTTACGGAACCAACAAGAGATGGAATCAATGAAGCCACACATCCCCCCATTGAAGATCTCGAAATCCAATTCGAATTTATCAGACTCAACCAACGACCCAAAATCTATACAGAATCGATTGTATTCCACCTGGGGTTCATCAGAGATGACCCCTCCGTTAACACCACACGACACCCAGGACACTAACATGGAACAATTGGAGGCCCCGAGGCCTGTCTTTCACAACTATCTGCGCGCCTTCTACCCTTTCCACCCGGCCGGCAATGTCTCTCCGTCGACCGTTACACTCCCTCTGGACCAGGGAGATATCATTTTAGTACACTCCGTTCACACCAATGGCTGGGCCGATGGTACACTACTAGATTCTGGGAATCGAGGCTGGTTACCCACGAATTACTGCGAAGCATACGACCAATTAGCTATGCGTCCCTTGTTGAAGGCCTTGACTGATTTCTGGGATATCATTCGAGGAGGATGCGGGTCATCACTAAAAGATTTTGGAAATCAAGATTTGATGCGAGGCCCTATCGCGGGCGTTCGCTTTCTACTGGTAAGTACCAGTCGAAACTGAGAAAAAAACCACAGGGCTTATGATTCCGCAGGAAAAATCGGAATGTCTTACTCGAGAATCACCCCTGGTAAAGAGATTCGATGGACTACGAAGAATTCGGAAGGCTTTGCTATCGGATCTGTCTTCGCTGGTGAAAACCGCGAAGAAGTTCCAGGAAGTTGCTAACGGGGTCCCATCGGAAGATGAGGTGGAGGCCATTTTGGATGAGATGCTTCTTAAGGCTTTCAAGATTGTTACCCGAGGAGTTCGATTCCTCGATGTTTGGAATGAGGAGGTTGGCCTGAGCAGGACTATCGCTGAGATGGATGGGCCCGGCGAGAGCCTAGCTCAGTATAGCATGCCGCCCACCCCCGCATCCGAGAGTTTCAATTTGGGCGAGGATGGGCCTGATCGATCTGAGTCAAGGATGCTGGAATCACGAATGGAATCACGGATGGAGTCACGGCGGATGAGCTATAGCCGTATGGATATGAGCCGGTCATCGATGCGCACTGAAATGGTTGATAACAGACCAGTTTCTGTAGCCACGAAGCGGGTTTCTATATCCCACCGCATGTCAGTCTCTGGTCCTTCTACTGCCATCGGTGCCCAGAATCTGGCATCAGAACGCCTTGGAACGACGTATGATGCGTTCCTCGGTGTGCTTGGCTCGTTCATCGGGCTCCACATGCAGTCCCGCTCCTCGACGGAGTTGGTTGTCACTACCCACCAGGCTGTCCAGTCGTGCAGGCAATTGCTTAATGTGGTTGAGGTAGTGTGCGAACATGACACACATCGCAGCGTGTTTCTTGAACAAGCACAAGAGTCAATGTGTGAGAGGCTATCCGAGCTTGTTCACGCTGCACGCGATGTATTCCGCCCCGCACAGCTACCAGATGATGACCTTGTGTTCATGCCAGATCAAGGGAAGCGTCTTGTGGATGCTGCGACTGACTGTGTTCGAGCAGCTGGAAACTGTCTGGCAAAGGCTCGCCTGGTGCTTGAGCAAATTGGTGATCTTGAGCTTGACCCTGAAGAGTCTGAAGCCAGGGGACCGGACATGTCTGGAATTGACTCTCCACAAGATGAATCAGAGACTCCTGTAGAACATGAGCGACAGCCGTCACTCCGCCTTCCCCCACCTCCTCTCCAGATTTCTACCACCACATACTCTCTCCAAACACCCGCTCTCACCGACGCTACAACACCTTCATCCTTCCAGTCTCACCTTTCAAATTCCCCCGCCAACATTAGCGCTCTTTCCTCTCTCCCTAATTCTGCTATTCTCCCCACCCACATCGAGAACATCTCTTCCTTCTCCACTGACAGTAGCTACCGTGAAAGTCATCCCAAGTCTGACGTGAGCGAATCATTTGGACGTGGAGTGACAAGCAATGGTAGCAGCTTCACATACAACAGCCACGCACGCGACTCCGAGATGAGTGGTTTATCGCAAACCTCAACTCGGGCTACCTCACCTGATATTGGTGGTAGCTTCCAGGGCAGCTTCACTGTTCACTCACTGAAGGAGAGTATGAGCTACTCGACCCTCGCGGAAGAAAACGAGGAGACCGAGGCCAACATCCTTGAAAAGACTTACGCACACGAGCTTATCTACAAGGAAGGTTCGGTCATGGGCGGCAGTCTCCGTGCTCTTATTGAGAAGCTGACGGCTCACCAATCCACCCCCGATGCGATGTTTGTCTCCACCTTCTACCTTACTTTCCGTCTTTTTGCCTCGCCTCTCGAGTTTGCCGAGGCCCTCGCTGAACGTTTCGAGTACATTGGCGAAACACCCCACGCAGCTGGACCCGTGCGTCTCCGTGTTTACAACATCTTCAAGGGCTGGCTCGAGTCCCACTGGCGTCATGATCGTGACAACACTGCTTTGGACTTTATTGTCAACTTTGCCAACACACGACTTGTGGTCGATCTCCCCACTGCTGGTAAGCGGTTGCTTGAGTTGGCCAGCAAGGTGTCCGCAGTTGGCGGCCCTCTTGTGCCTCGCTTGGTTTCTTCCATGGGCAAGACCAACACTTCCATTGCCCAATACATCCACCCCGATACCCCTCTACCTGCTCCCGTCCTTGGCAAGAAGGAGCACAACTTGCTGAAGCAATGGAAGAATGGCGAAGCCTCAATAACCATTCTTGATTTCGACCCTCTTGAGCTCGCCCGCCAGCTCACCATCAAGGAGTCGCGTATTTTCTGCTCGATCCTTCCCGAAGAACTCCTGGACACGGAATGGACCAGAAAGACAGGATCATTGGCTGTGAATGTCCGCGCCATGTCAACTCTGTCGACTGATCTTGCCCACCTCGTTGGTGACTCTATTCTCTACCTGGAAGAGCCCAAGAAGCGTGCCGCTACTATTAAACACTGGGTCAAGATCGCGAACAAATGCTTGGAGTTGAACAACTACGATTCCCTGATGGCTATTATCTGCTCACTAAACTCGTCTATGATCTCTCGACTGAGGAAGACCTGGGACATTGTATCGCAGAAGACCAAGACTACCCTCGAGCAGCTCCGCAGCATCGTGGATGTGTCTCGCAACTACGCAGTCCTGCGTCAGCGCCTCCAGAACCACGTTCCCCCTTGCCTCCCATTTGTCGGTACCTACCTCACCGACCTCACCTTTGTCGACCATGGCAACCAATCTCTCCGTACCCTCTGCACCAATGACTGTGAAATGGCTGTCATCAACTTCGACAAGCACATGAAGACGGCTCGCATTATCAGCGAGCTCCAACGTTTCCAGATTCCCTACCGTCTCACCGAAGTTCCGGAGCTACAAGCATGGATGCAGAATGAGCTCGTGCGCGTGCGCTCAAACGGCGAAACAATCGCACAAACCTTTTACCGCCGCTCTCTGGTTCTTGAGCCTAAAGAACCCTCCCGCAGCGGAAATACCCTCCAGTCCCAGACCTCCCAGTCCGAGTCAATTCCTTCCATGCTCGACAATGCCAAGGATAAGTTCGACTTCCTCTCTTGGACTAACCAGTCCAAGACGAAATCCGTCACGACACACGGATAAATCACTCTCTTCCGCCCACACTATCACCTATACCATCCTTCGCAACCTGATGATTGATGACATCTTCTCATTCCCTATTTACCGCCGCTTTAACCAACATCATTCAACCCATTCAAATCATTCGTCGTTCTGCTATGCATACTTGCATAAACTTCTACACCCATTCTATTGCTATATGTGAATATTCCATCATTCTTCTTTACCTATTTACTTGTTTTTATTCTTGGGCGGTGCCATTGTGTTTTGTTTTTGCGATTTCTCTTTCGAGAAATGCAGCATTTGAAAAGCGTCTATGTATGGAACGGGGCCCGGGACTACCCAAATGGAGTTTACCGAGGGCCTTGCTCTCTTTATGTGATTTGTTTAATTTCTTCCTCTGGTCTGTTCTTGTTTCGGCTGGGAACGGGGGAAAAAGGACAGGTGCATTGGAAAAAGGATTGTTATCTGTCAACTGGGTGTTTCCTATATCGGATACCCTCTAGACAATATTTTTTGCCTCACGGCCTCTGTACAGGAGCATCTCTTAAAAGCTGCCTGAAATACCAAATACGCTTTAATTTTAACTGGTTCTTTCTTAATCGTAAATGTAATTCTTATTTTGCCTGTAATGTTTACAGCTATCCAAATTAGGAAATTTCGATGCTCTACCTCGGATTCTGCCTGAATACTGATATCTGCATATCAAACACCGACTTAATCCTACCACCACCAATGATTTTAGATAAACACACAAACCCACTCAAAAACTAACGTCCTAGCGAGAGCCCACCATTAACAGGCACCAACTGGCCCGTAATCCAGCGCGAAGCATCCGAAACCAAAAACGCAAGAACAGGAACCAAATCAATCTCCACATCCCCAAACTTCTCCCCCAGACAAACCCGATCATTCATAAAAACATCATGTCCCCCAACATTCTCCGTCTCAAGATTCTCCCGATACCCATCAATCATGGGCGTCCAAACAGCCTGCAGAACCGCATTAACACGAATCCCATACTTCTCCCACTCGCGCGCAACAGCCCTCATAAAACTCTACACGGCACCCTTCGACGCGGAATAATGAGCCAGAAGCGGCAGCGGCTCGGACGCAAGATCAGATCCGAAGTTCAGAATCGTGCCGCCCCGAGTCTTGAGATACGGGAAGACGGCCTGGTTCATGAAGATCGTTCCCTTGATATTGACATCTAGCATGCGGTCTATCTCACTCTCGGCGATGCTCTCGGCGACATCTTGGTGGATGTAGCCTGATGAGTGGATTAAACTGTCTAGCCCGCCGAGGAATCGGACTGCGGCTTCCACGACGGCGTGGAACTCGGATCTAGCTGTTACGTCAAGGTGTTGGTATTTTATCTTGGTTTTCGGGTCTTTGGAGGATATTTAAGATGCCACACTTTGGCCGGCTTTGTCTTGTATGTCACATATCACCATGTGCACGCCGTGTGCTGCGAAGACTTCGGCGGTTGCTTTGCCGATTCCGGAGGCGCAGCCTGTTATTAGGATGCGTTTGCCGGTGATTGAGGGGATTATATGGCAGGCTGTTTCCTCTAGAGGACAGTCGCCGTGGGCGGCTTTGGGACACATTTTGATTCGGATTATTGGGGATAATGGATTTGCTCAGGAGTTTAGTTGGTGGCTTTGCGTGTTGTTGGTTCTGGATTACTTCTATATAGATACCTCATCATTCTCGATGTAACCTGTCTTTTGATGGATTAATAATATTATAAATCTAGCTGAGTTATGTACACCCCGAGCTTAGGGCTGAGATTTAAAGAGTGGGGTCTCCACTTGAACGAGGGAGGGTGATGAGTAGATACAGCAATGCTGGCTGGGAGAACAAAGGTTCTTGTTTTAGAAATGCTGGGCACAAACGAGGAAAGCTCACATATTGGTACTGATCTTAAGATTTAGTTATGAGCCGGTTATGAGTATTACATGGCAAAAGGATTTAGTTGAAGATATTTGGCTCAAAACAAATTTGATATCGGAATCGACCTGGTATTCGTGTCTTGCTGTCAATGCAAGGTTCGGCGGAAGGAAATACCACACAGGGATTAAACCCACAGGGATTATGAGATAGTCATCAATTCTTGAAATTGTTATGCTAGGGCTGAATTTAGTGGCACCTACTTAGCTCCCTCGTGGATCCTGTTTTGCGTATTCTATAGCTCGTCACAAATATGAACTCGTGGACCTATACGTAGCTAGATGGCAATAATATTGATACCACTCGAGCATTGCCTTGGGTATCACTGAAATTATAGAATGCATGGATAGCTGTTTATCCAAGGTCGTCATATTGCTTTATCGCGGGGTTGATCCTTGCCAATTCATCATCTCGCTTAGACATTGACTTGGACCTACTGGCAGCTCGAGCTGAAGTTGTACACAAGGTTCATTTGTTGGAGATTAGGAAATTGAAACATTTGCTACAATTCTAAGCTCTATTGGGAAACTAGATCAAATTAATTCGGGCAATAAACAGAACATAAACCTCAGTAGAGCTTTCTTATATTGGGAATTGATGGAAGAGACACAGTGCTCGATTATGCATAAGAAATAGAGGACTACTGCAATATTGCTACTTTGGAGCCTATAGATCTTATTCGCGATTGACTTTAGCATCATGTTTAAGGGCTTTGAGCGAGCATCGAAAGCAAAGCAAGCAAAGGAGATAATATTATTAGAATAAGTACACTCTTGAAGGTTAACATACTATACTCATACAGTTATGTATCCAGTTTTGTAATGTGTATATTAATTCGATGATCTGCATATCATACTGTAAGACATTGCCACTGAAGTCTGTATAAACCAGTCAATATGATTCAATTTTATCACTATTTCTATCAATGGCTGGCTGATCCATCCTTGCATGAACTCCCCCGCCAGCCACCTGGAGGTTAGAAGTCTGCGGAGGATTTTCTTCACATTCTACAATACAAATCCATGCAAGGGATATGCCTAGAGGGTCTCAATCCCGAATACAAGATAACCCCTCAATTGTATAATTCATAAGACAGACCGCCACCATTGAATTGAGACATTTGAATAATGCGACTGCCTATACCTCAAGCGCCAAACCCATGCAAGTTTAGGATAAATTGAAATCTTTCGACGTCCTGCACGATCTATCTGGTTGATGCGGATTAATGCAATGCAACAATATGAAATCCATCAGGCTTACTCCGTACAGAGCACTCGAGCTGCACCTCGCTAAATGTCACCACATCACATCTAGGCTTGACCCAAACAATCAAAAGGTCGTTTATTTCGAACTGTTTCATTTGTTTTATGATGTATTGAAAACACAACGTTGTATTCTGTTTGTTAATTTGAGGGTGGAGGGTAAATGTGACCTGTCATGGGTGAAACCTTCAAAACCGGTTTAAGCACCCATGTGAAGAGGTCAATGTGGACGGCCGGGATTTCATGCCAGTTAATTTGAGGGTCTGGGCTTATATGGTATAGACTCTAGACAGCAGTAAGCGAAACAAAACCTATTCCAGTTCCAGTGTTACTGAGTCTGAGTTTTGTTTGCCCAAAGCGTACTCAACCAAAGAGCCAACTGGATAATTCAGGTAATGACCGCCGCCGCCAAAGACAAATGATATGGGCGTGAGTTTAATACTTGGGAACTCTTGATAGATGTATCACCTAATGTACACATTTCCACTCCGTTTCAACGCGTTTCCCATTACCGGAAGCCCCAAATTTCCTATACGAGAACATTCCAAGGTTGGAGCTAAACTATGTTACATAACGTGTTTTGAACGCTTCCATGAAATTTAAACTCACGCCATCGCTATCAGCAAAGGGGGATGCTCTGGTATCCAAGTCTAGTGGTAATGAAGCGGTAGTCTCAGGGAGGGATCGTAAATCAAGGATAGGGACCATTGAAGGGCGGCCATGCGCGCATTGAAACGGGAAGGCACAATGGGCCAGCCTAGAGACCAATGCCTGGCACTCATCAGTGTTCAACGGGTCATTGAACATGATAGCAGTTCGACAGGCGCGGGAGTTGAGAAGGTCGACAATGCCTTGAGGGCATCCATTCATCTGTTGAACCCATGAGCGCGAGGCTGATGATGCCGAGATTCCTTTGTGTACCACATCATCGCTGTCTGATATTTCAAGATCCTGATCCGCGTCTTCGGTTTCAATTTTTTTCTTCGATTGGAACGGCTTTCTGCCATCTTCCTCACTTGACCAGATCTCGCGCCTCATCAAGTCAATTAGCACATGAGGCTCGAGTCGACACCGTTCGGCTATTAGGGCGGGAAGAGTATGCACGGTGATCATAACGGTAGAGTTGGTCTTGCCATGGGTGACATACTTAATACCCCAGTCTGAAAAGTGACCCGTATATCTTTGAAAGAGATCACCCTCTGTCGATGAAACCTCAAATGCTAAAGAACCGACTTGGACAGTCCGCACTACACCCGACTCCAAATTCTCACCTAACCCAGCAGATATGAACATTTCCCTAAACAACAGTTCAATTCGACATCGCTCATCGGCAGCATGCTGATCGATTAAGAGCAGAATATCGTTCGATATCCTCTCCGAATTGAGAATGACGGGGCGTTTATGGACTTTAGCCAATATGAACTTTTTGTCTACCTGTGCTATCACTTCGGCAGTCTCGAGCGCACGACGTTGAAGCTTTCCTCGATATTTGGCAACCTGCGCCGTATTAAGCGATCCAATACCCTTAAAGCAGTCATGCGAAGAAGTAGTTATAGTCTGGTGACCAGCAGACTCTGCGCTTAGATTTGGTATTGGAATTTCTGTCCGGCCGAAGGAGGGATTGTCCCATTCTCCTAAAAGGTTTTCTATCCAGAAATTTTGAGCTGGATGCTTGGGCGAGATATCGACACAATCGGTGAGGGAACGCTGGGTAGCTAATGACTTCCAGGAGTTTATCGTTTGGCCTGTTCGAGGATTGATCGTACAGGCCAGCTTGGTGTGTGGGTCGATCCAGGTGATCATCTTGTCTGATGGTGAGTCTCCACTGAGATCCTCTGTTCTGGTCCTTCCCTCATTAGAGACAATTTTATTCGGGGGTCTCGGAAGAATTGTGTGCTTCTGGCCATAATTTCGATGGTCTGGCCTATGTTTAGGGAGGATCGGCAAGGAACTCTCGCCCTGTGTCATATCAGGAGTCGCATGAGAACGCCGAGGGGGTTGATGCGTCGGAGAATGTCCTTTGAGATCCTTAGCGGTCTTCACTCTGGACCAGTTGGCGAAGCTTTGACCAGAGTTTAGAGACTGGGCTCTTGGGAATGAGGGAATTTTCAGATGACCGCTAAACGCCTCTTCAGTGCTTGAAAGCGACTGACCTTGCTGCAGGGGCCCACGAGAACTGCTAGCTGCTTTGGAGACTCTGGAACGGAGACTCTGGTTTTGATCTGATGACTGCTGTTTGCTGTCACGAGGGCGGAGATTGTGTTGCTTCAAAAATTCACGGACCATGGCCCCAAGTACATTAACTATACGTTGAACCGATTTGGTTGATTCCGGGAGATGATCAAATTCATCATCATCCAATCGTATAATAGCGTTTGCATCAATGCGGATGTAAAACATTGGCCACTTATTGACGGGCTTTGCCCAGCTTCGAGTGCTTGCGTTACTTGGGGCATCAAGTTGATTCACCGAAGATGCAGGATGTGAAATGGAGCCTCTGCCAGATTTGTCCCCAACATTACTGAAATCCGACAAAGCAAATAGTCGATTCACTTCGTCGTACAGAACATTCGAGCTGTTGCGCGATAGCACGGGTTCGTTTCCCAAAGAGATGAACTGGACTTTCCGAGTTGGGCTGGGTTGGAGAGATATTGCTCCCCGAATTATAAGGTCAGAAACCGATGCTGAAATTTCATGCCAATTGTCGAAGTTTGGGAGTGTGATCAGCCCAGATTGTGTGAGAATTAACCCAATGCGTTTGATATCAAACTTCCCCTGAGCATGACCGAGGCGTGTTTCAGACACCAAGGCAGCTCCCAGACGAATGGAGACACGTTTGTTTCTTTCCACATCAAGCAATACCAGTTTTGAGAATTGAGGATTGGCCAAAAGGAGAGACACCAAGGAGTTCCTTAGATGATCCCACTCTCGTTCTAGCTCGTCCGGGCGCTGAAGAGTGAGGGCTCTATTTTTGACGCGAACTGGCATGTTCCCAAAAAGGTCATTGACAGTCACAGACGTGCCATGACCGGCAGAGTGAAGCACCTGGTATGGCGGTGCAGGGGTTAGCCGAGCCACAGGCGTCGAATGATGAAGTATGATTGAATTTGTGGATTCATGAAGAATGTGACGAGAAGTCACAGTAAGCAGAGACAACGAGGCTAGGGAAGCCAGAAACATGCCTCGATGCCCATACAAGCCACCCAACTTGAATTTGGATGTATCTATTTCATGTTAGCAAGGATACATTACAACCTCAAGGTTGGGAGACATGCGGTGAGCCTTGCCCAGCCCTCCTGCAACTTCGAACTCGGCCAAAGGAATTCCATCGCCATCATCTTCGACTATACAGCCACCGCGTTTGAAATCGACAGTGACGAAGACGGTATGGGCATTGGCATCCAAAGAATTTTTGACTAGTTCCAAAATGACACCGGTCAGATGTAGAATGGATGTAGATGATTTGATCTTTGCAATCACATCAGGTGGTAGCGCTCGTATTATTGACCGAGGCGGAGGCATTGAGACAGTTGGTGGTGTTCACCGGGAGCATTGCGCCACTAGATGGGAAAAGAAAGACCCCAAATTTGATTTTGGAAACACAAATGCGCTTCAATCATGATCATCTGTTATTGCTGCCATCAGAGCCCCTTTAAAATGTATCAATCAATCATTCATGAAGGCACAAAATACCCAGAATGCTGAGATTATGTCAAGTAGAAGTTCAAGAGGCAACATTGAAGGTAGGCACATGACGTGTACGGATAAACAGTCTCCCCGCCCGCTGCCCCATCTGCCTCGGCGCAGCTCGATCCCCAGGGCACTACTCCCTTGCCTACCTTTGACTTTTCGCAAGCCAGAGTGGGTACTGACTAGGCTACATCTTCAAGCTAGAATGGCTACTGCTGATGGTCCTGCTAGGGTGCATGGTAAGTACGCATTGTGACTGTTGGTCACCCTGAACCGCTGCTAAGGGATTCATACAAAACAGACCGGAATGCACGTCGCCGTCCATTCTCGAATTGGGTGAAACGCCTGGCGAACTTGAAGAGTTCTTCTGACTCTACGACAAATCGATGGTCCAACAAACGCCACATGGGTAACAAGGGGAAGAAGAGCGATCAAGAAAACAATCCATACCCGCTCTCTGGAACCATCAACCGTGACACAGGGACTCAGACACCGACTGATTCATACACCGATGACCATTATGCAGAATCTCGCTCCAGGAGCGACCCGTCTTTGGGCTCGGGCTATGATAATCCGGCTCCCCTGACGGGCGCGAAATCCGCTGCGCCAACCATTTCAACCAACGGCGACGCCGCATTCTCCGAAACAGCTTATTCCAAGGCGGGCACATTGACAACTGGCACTGAAGGATTTAGTACGCATGGAGGAGGCGAGGGTAGCACCTTTTCATCGCCAGCACCTTCGATTCGATCGATGACTACTACCCTGACCACTGTTCACTCGGCGGCACCCTCAACCCAACTGTACAACGCGCAAACCACCCACAATGGGCACCACCATGGCAGCTCGACACAGAGCTCTTCAAACCAGCAAATTCAATTCTCCCACCAATTTCCTTCAACCTCACCTGCTACCGCAGTCCCGTCGCACCTGGTGCCCCAGAGCCATTCAATGACGTATAGCGCCGCAACCGCAAACAATGCCTTAACGGATAACGCTTCTCTTCTCACTTTGGCGAGCTCGTCTAAACGTCGTCGTCGTAACTCCCTGGACACCAATGCATCTGTACGCGGATTGGCTCCGTCTTCTGTCTTCGGCGGTAGTCGGGAGAGCCTGCCGCTGAGTGTTCTGAGTGGACACACGACTGAAGCATCCAATACCTCTGTGTTCAATGCGTCAGGGGTGCTGAGCCGACCAAGTATTGTTGGCCTTGCTAGTGCTGAACGCATCAGTGTCTACTCGGCCTCCGGAGCAATTCCATTAGCCAGCACCACTGCGGAACGGGGCGGCTTATATACCACCAAGCAAACCGCCGGCGGTGATACAGCCAGCATTCGCAGTGGTGTTCAATCGCACAGTCGGAATGATAGTACTGCCGCCAGCATCGCTGGGGGTATTAGCAGCCCATTAGCCATGACTGGTCGCATGAGTCGAAGAAGTTCCGGGTGGGGAGAAATCACAGGCGAGGAAGGCAATGACGGAAAGTCAGTCGAGAAAACCGAGGATGAAGCAGCGACTAAAGATGCAACCGCCTTGCCCGTTGAGCAGCTCAAGGCATGATTCCACATCGCACGTACCCCCACACCTTTACCAATCACGAATGGCGAGGTGTGTTTGAATGAAGTTACGCATGGAGAGTCCAGAAGATTGAGCGAAGCAACAGCGATCCTTTACTACATAATGACTTGATGCATGGAAACCTTCCAAGGACCTGGATATTCTTAATTGTTTGGCGGCGTTTTCTAGGCTGGGACTTTGATACCCTATGCGGTATGGACAAATTCGTTTCTATTCAATCCATATTGCATGCAACTTCGGATCTTTCGTGTATTCATTAGATCTTTCCTAGATTCGGCTCCGGTTGATTACCTTTTACATGTACATATCCTCGTCGTATTGGTTGATATCCATCAACCCCTATTTGTCAAGACCAATTGGCCCATGGACACCGTTTCATCGGCGCCGAATGACCATGGGCATATCGTACTGATACACGAACCAGGAATTTTGGTACTTCCATTCGTGTTTGGGATCCACCAGTTGGATCTATATTGTGAGTTAGCACCAATCTGGAATCCAAGAAACACCAATAAGCCACTCACATCGCAGGAGCTGTACAGCGACGCAATCAACTTTTTGATCTCTAGCATAGCGAGATACCGGCCCATGCAAACCCGGCCTCCGGCACCAAAAGATAAGTCGACAGTATCTTTCATCCGACGCAGACGAACCTCAAAGTTCTCCGGGTTTTCATCTTTGCCCTGCAGCCAGCGGTCCGGATTGAATTCATCGGCATCATCCCCGAACACCCCGAAGTCACGGTTTGTCACAAAGGGGTTGATCCCGGCCTTGGTACCTGCAGGGAGATATCGTCCATCGGGAAGCGTGAATCCACCCTCTGGAACGACACGCTCGAAGATCATGGCAATGCCGGGGTTGACGCGCAGAGCTTCACGAATAACGGCATCTAGGTATGGCAAGTCGCGGATCTCCTCCCAGGGAGCGGGGGAAGAGATACTAGCGGCTTTGAGTTCTGTGGCAAGCTTGGCCATCGCAGCAGATGACTTGGCTAGGTAGTAAACGGCGGCGCGCATGGTAGCCGAGCTCGTGTCGCCTCCAGCAACAATGCTCAGCATTAGCCAGTTGACAATCTGGTTGTCGTCTACCATGTTGGGGTATGTTTCTTTCAGCTGCACGTACTTGTCGAGCGTATGGTCCACAGTACTGGCGGATATTTTCTTCTCGGCGAGCTGCGCCTGGTATTCGGCGACGACCTTGAAGGCGTACAGGGCGCCTGTCAAGGTGGGCTTGGGCCCAATGCGCTTAATAGGATTTTTGTCGAGGATGTTGTCAATCCAGGGGATTTGAGAGACCTAGTAGGACGTGTCAGTCACGCTCCTTGCTCATGCCGGGTCGTTGATATTGGGGTACTTACCGGTGCGAAGTATCTCAGGCCAGCAGTCGAGTCGGTGATCAAATTGTCGATATCCTTCTCCTGGTCAATGAATCCATAGTGCCGACCAAAGCTGTAGTTAGCGGTGACATCCCAGGCAACTATGTGATATCTTAGTCTAATTTACGCAGCCTCGTAGGGGGCATTTGGGAGTATGCTCACAGAAGCCAATCCATTCATCTGCCGGACAAACCTTCCCTGCGTTATCTCCATCGACGAATTTTAGCGCTAGCTTGTCTACAAACTTGATTATCGTTTCATCGATGAAAGGCTCGTATTCTAGAACCTTAGTCATGGTCCAAAGGCTCCGAATAGGTCGGATATTCTGGTTGTGCCAATCTTCATCCTGGGTGTTGAACAGATTCGATAGTCGGTGGCCGTCAAGCAGTACATCATTGGGGCGGTACATATCACTCTTTACATGATTACGACAAGTCAGCACGGTCAATTCTCAATCTAGAAAGGATGGTATTGTTTAGGAAGCGATATATCCAACCTTTTTCCATGAATTGCGGGTGGAGTAAATTGTCCGAATTAGATTCGGATCTGATATGTTCACACAATTGGGCCCGACCTGTACCACTGTGCCATATTTGCGGTGTAATTGAACATTCTTGAGATCAATGCGTCCACCATATGCGTGAGACGCACGCCAAAGATCAGTGATCTTGGCCAACACCGGGCCAGGAATGGGTCTCAAACGAGAAAAGAACACATCCAGAATCAGCTTTGTCACAACAAGCAGACCTAAAGTGACCAAGGCCAGGCCCCACAGGCTGGAAGGAAGAGGGATCATCTCCAAGTTCGTTGCAGATGTGGATTCTGTGCGCGCACAAAGGTACGTGCAGTGCGGCAAGGTGCTCCGAATTCAATGCACTGCCAATAGTCAGGATTTCGTGAGACGTGTAGCACTGTTGACAGGTGCAGCCTTTCAAAGCCCCTTGAAGACCCTAGGCCGTAGGCCTATTAAGATAAAGGGGGTACGCCATTTGACCAACATTCTCCATTTTCAACACGCATAAGAGTGGGGGCTATTGCGGAGAACAAGGTGAACGGTGGGATGAAGCGTTGACGATACTCCAATGATTCGAAAACAATATTCAAGCGGAATTTAGCGCTCGTCTTCGACGGGGGTGGCCGGAATGTGGAGTCAGCAGTTGATTGTCGATGACTCTGAATGGAGTTTCCCAATTCGGCCACGACAACCTTGGCTTTACAGCGGCATCGCCCTAGCGGCTGAGAGATTCTAGTGGCTTTTCGGCAGCTGGCCTACCTACCTAGGTAACTAGGTAGCGGTTTAGAAAAGTTCATGCAAGCTGGACACGTTAATTTCGACCTTGCAGATCCACTGCCATGGTAAGCGAGTACTACATGCACAACAACAAACTTGTTCAGATCGGGGAGCCCCTAAACTTTTAAACCCCTAAACCGGTCGATTGGATATTTTTTAGACCAAGTTATAGTACGGAGCTGGCTACGACAATTATTACCTTTTTTATTTTGGACTTTGCCCCCGCGATATTTTATATTTCAAGTATTGTTAGTCTACTTTGGTGATGCACCTCTCCCGCTAGAGAGCCAGGCTTCTACGGTGTAGGGTGTGATGTGGGCGATGTCTATGGTTCCTTTGGCCTTCGTTTTGATGCGCTTGTATGTGCGAGTATACATGTCATACAAGCCTTTCGAAGATAGTATTTTGGAGTTTTCCATTCACCCCAAGCCTACAATTGTAGTAGTAGAGGATTTTTCTGGCATTTCTAACAGAATTTATCTACTGATTCATGAGTATCGCAGCGATGGGTCTTTTGCTTTATAGTAGATATACTACTAAAACGCGTCAACTATATTCTTATAGCCTCTAAGGGCAAATAATACAAGCGAAAAAGAAATGAAGCAAGTCAAATAAAGCATCAAACGAAAAAGGTTGCCCAAATATCGAAGAAACCATTATTCAAGGACCTAGGGCTTTGTTCAGCAATATCTCGAAGATGGCTTCCTCCATAATTGCCGCGAATCTGCAGCACATTATACATTAGTACACAATATTATCAATCGAGAACAGGAATTAAATAGTCACCCCCGACACTTCATATTAGGCCTCATGGCATTTTCCAGCGTTTTCAATCTCTCACGTGTCAATCGTGGAAAGTTCTCATGGTCCCTTATCCTGTTCCACGCCTGGACGGGCGTAATGTACCCATCCAAGTTAAGCCTGTCCGCCATCTCAAAGAGCCTTTGAAAGACTTCTGCTGAAACCTCCCACCGTGAGTCGTTGTCGAGGGTTGGGGGTGCAAGTTGTAGCAGTGTGCCTTGCATGGACACAGCATGACCGGTGGGATGTGCGCTTGAGATATGCGACAGGCATGGCCGTTCCAGTCTACGAGTTCGTGAGCACAATGCTGGGAATATGGGCGGAGTATGCGGGTATTTACGACAGGACAAAGTCGACTCCTGTTTGGAACCATGCCTCCTCGGAAAGCACGTCCAGGCCATTATCTATATCATTTTCGGGAGTTTCAGTCCCGTTGTTTTGCCTATTTTTGTCGGTATTATTTCCCGATTGACCTGTGACAAGCCGAAAATACGAGGGGTTTGATATAGATGGCGGCCCTTTTGGACCCATTCTTGATGAGGAATGAATTGTGCTTCTCATGCTTGAACCATACCCATGAGGGTTGCTGCAGTGGTGGGAATTATATTGGCAGTTTGGAATCTGGACGGAAAGAATCATTGCCCTAAACACGGTTACTTTGGCCAGGTAGGACTTCGGGTTTGACAGTTCCCGTGGAAGGCTGTTTGCTGCGCAATAATGTCCCGGTGGGCCCCAATGAACCTTTCGGGGCTCATCTGGTTCAAGGTTGCCACGAGAAGATTATATTACCGGTGAACGTCTCCTTCCAGCAATTGAATGAAATTGTCATTTTTTTCTTTATTCTTCCTTTGGTAATACTATGTCGGTAAGAGGTAAAGCAGAACTGGGACACCCATTACATACCATTTGACTTGTCTAAATTGCTCACATAATTTAGCAAAGGTTACTTTTGGGTCCTTTGTCTCATTTGACATACCTAATAGGAAACCTTTAGTACGAACATTGAATAGAATGCATGCAATACTTGCACAGTCATGTGTGAGCGCTATCTATAGTCATTGGGCTAGTTGAGCAACGTGTCATCGAGTTCTATTCAGCTGATTCGTATTCTGCGAAATCAAACAAATGAGCACAAAGACTTCAGGAGTGTCGCAGTGTGACATCTCGCAGGATTACATGAAAAAAATACTAAATTTTCAAATTCCGGCTGAAACCACAATCATTATTATCTCCAGGTTTGTACTTGGACCCGATGTTGGCTATATCTCCACCTGTTAACTCTTAGCCGGACTGGAATATGGGCAAGGACTTGGAATTACCTGCCAGCCTCCAGGCCCATAGGGTAGTTATTTCTGTGCTAGCTCCCAAGGCTGCACAGGACTTTTGTATACCCGCTTCGATTATTGCAATGGTTTAGATATTTAGCATATCAGCGCAAGCTCACGTATCACTATCTAGACTTGTTTGCCCAGAGGTCTTCTCCCTCTAGCCATATACAACCATCAGATATTGTCTAACCCGGCTTTTGCTCCGCCACTCAAACTACCTTCCAAATTTATATCGGCAACATAAAAGGGTAACGCCGCCCAGAATTCGTGGAACGCTCGGTGAATTTTATTAGATGGTTCATAATCTAAGCCAAGCTTACTTCGACCAGTAGCTTGCTAAATTCCACGAGCTATAGATATACTTTATGTTTACAGCTGCTTAGATAGGTGCTTGATTTCGTCTTCTTATTCATGGTATAATAGTAGGTTATGTATTAGCCACGCCACTGACTCATACGTAATATTGTCTCGTGTTTCCGTAGATGGGATGGTGTATTAGCCAAATCATTTCCTGGGGTGTGGTCTGACCTTCTACCTGAGCCTTCCTTGACTAATTGCTCATACGACATTATTATCTGACCCAAATTTAATTTGAAACAACCTAGAGACTATGCCAATAATACACCTTTTGCGGAGGTGAATTGGTTCCTAGCCAGAAAGTAGATATCTATTTTTTCTAACCTGTTTCCTGTACTGAAAACTAGTCTAATTAATACAGACTCTTTGATGCCCGAGCGTTGATTTCAACGAAATATCCAACATGCTTAAGTGCCGATATTGAGTTCGAGACCATGACGGAACTGTTTGTAACTAGATGTCGCGGACTCGCGGATATTAAGAACATCCAACAAGCAAATGAGATGCCTTGAATCGGGGCTCAGAGGCCTGATTAGGCCCAAAGAGTAGAATCTAGGAGAATTCGAAAGTCATCATAAAGGATAGAGGAAAATGGTGTGTTGCAGGAACTAGTTATGCCAGCATCACGTTGTGGGATCTACAAAGTACAGTTACCAGTATGTACGAAGTGTGGAGACACTAGGAAAATGATTCCACATGCTAATATGTATGTTGCATGCACATTGCATCCACCATTGAAACAAGAGTACTCATTATTGTATCGAGTTTGTGATTTCTAATAAGTCAAGAGATTGACGACTTCGTCTTTTTCTAATACTCGGCCATCACTGGCCAGTGCACTCTTAGCAGCCTAAATTCTGCCGGGCTAACTGTTCACCAATAAAAAGCCAAGGGGTAATGGGCGGTAGTAGAAAATGTGTTTAACACTTTTGCGGAGTCATTGTATCTACAACATAAGCAACGCTAAACTGCGTCGAGTCAATTCGACATTTGAATTTTAGAACCCTTGTAAGAGTCTGTGCTTGAAGATCAGCAAGGGCCTCATATGTATATCCCATCTTAGTATGCTTGTATGACAATGGTTAGAATAAAACCCCTAATAGCTAAACAGTAGAGTAGACACTAAGATAAGACGATTAAAATGAGCTATGTTGATGAATAATTCAGTGCGACTTCGGACAAACTAGGAATAACTTCACTTGGGACACGAACAGCGTTCCTCCAGTGCCTTCTTCCATGCTGACCAAGCTGATGAGGCCCACCAATCAACGGTTGCAGACCCCGGTTTCGGGCCCGCCGTTTCGGGGTCTGATTTGTATGTGAGCCGCGCTTGTCGCTAGGTTTATTGGATGTACTACTGCCTAGGAAAATGAGGATTTGAGGAGTAATGTGTGATTCGTGATTCATGCAGAATTCATCTCATCTCATACAAAATTGTATGCTACAATTTATATAGAAATAATAGCAATTAATCGGATCGTCGTGGGATTTCCTAATCCGAAATGGGAACGTGGAACCGAAGATTTAACTTCGGTGGACTCCGATTGTCGGCCTCCGATCAGATTTCTATAACAATTGTATACCATTTGTATATACAACGTAGAGCGAGGGAAGGGACAAAAAGGTGGAGTAAATTGGAAGAGAAAGAGAATATAGTTAATAGTTATAAGTGTATAATATTTCCAACAAAAAGCAAATCTCCAGTTGTACGGATCGGGAGGCAAATGAAGCCCTGGAGGCAAATTGGGGGGATTAATCATCATCCACCCCTCCGGCCCCAGGCTTCCCCCCACTGAACATTCAAAGAAAAAACCCACTTGTGGCCCCAACTTCTCTCTTCTCTCCGGCTTCGATCCATTTTACAACATCCCCAAAATCGCGATTCACACGAATCGAATTATCTAGCCACCTTATAACAGGTGCTTCAATATCCATCGCACTCGCGACGAATCCGCCCCGAGCCGCATTCGGCATTTGAGTCACGTCTCTACCGCCTGCGCAACGCGCATTTCCACGAAGTCCATCGGCATCGAGCAAATCGGTTTCCGTCTTCGACCTCAACCGATCGTACTGGAAAATACGGGAAAGCCTTCATCATGGCTAACTACAATGGGCGTCGCATGCCCAACTTCTCGCAATACCTCGATGACTTGAACGCGATTCCCTCGCCGTATGACCAGGCTCAGCAGCAGCAACAGCAGCAGACCACCTTCAACGATGAGGACCTGGCTTTGTTCACCAATACCGAGTTCTTCGAGTTCGACAAATTCACCGACTTTGGCGGTCTGCCTCCATTCTCGCCAGAAGATGAGAAGCATGAGGTCGTCTCGGATCAATCCGCACACAATGCCGACCTGAAGTTCTTGGATTTCCTGAATGGTAAGTGTGGCTTATTTTTGGTTCCTGTCTTTCGCGTCGCTCGTTGGGTAGTCCGGAGTCTGAGCTGCGCGGTTGTACCCTGATCACACCATACCCTGCAGACTTGTTCACAATTGTGTCCTTGGGACCAATTTCTACACATTGCATATTGTTTCATTGGTTGCTTTACGAATTCGTCATTCCTGCCTATTGCACGAGTCATGTCTTGGCTCGTGGCATTTTTGGCGCTTCGTGCGCTTCGTGCCCTCAATATCATCCCATGTCCTTGCACAGCTTTGACCTCCTTGGCTGGAAAATTTGATCCCTGCATGTCATCCTTCCCGTGGCCCTAGCAGGGTTTTCTTCCACTCAAATTTGACTTTGGTCGCTGGCGTGAATGATCTCCGCTATTACGCCATACCACGTGATCGGCACCCCTGCTCGGACTCAGACTACTCTTCGGGAAACCGAAACCCACGATGTGGATATTGTTGGAAATTGAATCAATGCTAATGGTTTTATAGCTGAGGGTCTCAATGGCATGTCCGATTACCAACCCGATCTGACCGGCTCAAACGTTCAGGTGCCCATGCACAATGCCCACTATTCGGGCCTTCCCTCCGTTCCTAGTGGGCCTGTGGCTGTAAACCAGACACCCATTCAGCCTGCGCCGATCAACACCGCCCCGAAGGTCGCCCCGACCCCATCTGTTTCTATGTCTCCTTCCACTCCGGTTACCGGCACCAAGCGCAAGAACTCGGCAAATTCTACCCAGGAGAGCGCTGAGGAGGCTAGTCGTCAAATGGCTGAGGAGGACAAGCGCCGCCGTAACACCGCTGCCAGTGCTCGTTTCCGTGTGAAGAAGAAGCAGCGTGAGGCTGCCCTCGAGCAAACCGTTAAGGAGACCACCGAAAAGAACGAAATTCTCGAGGCTCGCGTGTCTCAGCTCGAGCTTGAGAACCACTGGCTTCGTGGTCTGATCATGGAGAAGAACGGTGCCGACGAGCAGTCTGAGCAAGACATCTCCGATATGTTCAAGAAGTTTTTGGCCTCACAGAAGGCCGATGGCTCAAGTATTTCCGACCTGAAGCGCGGCGTGGGCACTACTGTATGAAGCATTGTCCAATGCTAAAAGAAGAAAGAAGAAGAAAAAAATCGTCAAAAATTAAAAAAAAAGAAACCCCAGTCTTATTTGATTGCCCTGCTACTCTACTCTGCTGCTTCAGGTAGTGACTGTCCTGGGCTTTTCCCTGTTAGCTCCACCTCACTATCTTTGCTTTCTTGTTCATAGTGTTCTTTTTTCAAGCGATGTTATTTTCTTATTTTCTAGCAGCTAGAGCTACTTCAGATTTTTATCATCTGCAGGTCGAGGGGGTGGTGGGTGGATGAGTGATGTCTCTTCACGGCAGTTTTAAGGATTTAGATGCAAGTATTCATTTGTTTCAGCCTGGTTTTATGCCTGTCCAAGTCTCCTAGAATATGTATTGAAACCTAGCCCTAGGCAACCTCCCACTTCCAGTTTTATTTGAAATCTGTGTTGAACAAACTATAATGCATATACAATGACAACTAATTAATCTGGAGGGATCGGCAGAGAGCAAATCCTTACTCCGTACAAATTACAAAGGCTTACAAAAAAGTGGGGTTCATTTTAATGAAGTGTGACACTCCACGGGTGTGCCTAAGCTTGGCATTGACAACCGCATAATTCACCCGACGAGCTCCACCCAGCTTTGCAGAATTCGACGAAAGAGACTGGATCATTGTCCCATCCCCTGACTATTAACCCATGCTAGACTTCCTCAAACGCGCCCTGCGCAAACCACACACAAATGTATACGGTCTAGACCATGCCGTCCTCAACATACAGCTCACACAGCAGAGCATGTGGATGAACATGGGATATTGGGAGGTCAGTCAACCCAAGTAAAGACCGTTTAAACAACTGTCTCGCCAAGTTTCCCGCCTTTGAATCCACACTGACCCACTTTGTAGTACACAAATGACTTCCCAGAAGCATGCCAAGCGCTCCTAGATCAGGTTCTCACGGCTGCGCTATCAACAGAGAAAGCGTCCGCCGTAAGAATCCTAGATGTCGGGTGTGGGTGTGGTGATCAGTCGTTGTACCTGACGAAGGCTTTGAATTGCTCTTCTTCTAAATCCCAGTTCAGTTCTGAGTCTGGAACTGGGACAGCAACCCCTGCTTCTGTCTCCAGTATTCCGTCTGATATTCAACCATCAAAATCAGGCCTGCGGCATCGCCATAGCAAGACAAACCTGCCATCTTCTCCTTTGGTACGCCTAGATTCTTATATCGGGATCACCCTGGAACCAGCGCAGGCTGCGCTTGGTTCTAGCCGCCTTCACCATATGCAACGAGAGAGCGAGGACTTTATTCAGGCGGATATCTTCTGTGCAGACGCCGCAGTACCAAGCTCTTGGACTGGAGAGTTGAAGAAATCAATCACAGCTCTTGAAGAAGCGTCAAACAAACCAAATGGAAATGAAAACGAAGACACATCCACATGGCTTCTGGCCCTGGATACGATATATCACTTCCGCCCCTCGCGCCTTCCTCTCTTGACCTACGCACAAAACACACTCAATGCCTCATTTATGGCCTTCGACTTGATACTATCTAATGATATAACTTGGTATGAAAAGATCCTTCTCCGGCTGGTGTGCTGGGGAACAAACTCACCATTCGGGAACTTCGTGTCCGAGGAGGAATACGTGAAACTACTTGTTACAGCCGGGTATGATCCTGGTTTTATTCAGATTCGAGATGTCTCACAGCACGTTTTCGGCGGGTTGGCGGGTTTCATTAAACGCAGGGCGGAGGAGGCAAGGCCTTTTGGGATTAAATTGGGGAAATTCCGTGCAGCGAGCGTTGTTTTTGGGTGGTGGGCCAAGGGGAGGGTTGTTAGGGGTGTCGTTGTTGTTGCGAGGAAAGAGTGAGCGTTTTGATGGTCCAGCAGGTTATCTCGTGTGTCAGTATGTATTAGATTAGCTGAGAGAGAATCAGGTCTTAACTCAAAGTGCGACCTATTCAACCATATCCTTATAGTCTATGGTAGTATCGACTTGGAGGATAGATAGGCCCAACCAAAGCACTCTGATAGAACGCCAGATAAAGAAAAAGGAGCAAAGCGAGGCTTGCTCATTAATCCTTCCACTTGGGGGTTGCACTCGACTACATAACCAGATAGTCCATGTATGGTTGCTACCGCACAGAAGGAAGGTAATGGAGTGAGAAACTTGGAAAGCCAGTTGAATGCTTCCCTTGGAACCTTACACTTCCAGTTGCTACACTCTCCTCGTGGCCATCTGGCGCTTCTTTAAAAATACCTGGTAGTAGCTCATTAACTCTCTAACCAAAGACCCTAGGATGTGTCAAACCGACCAGCACTACGGCATCCTGGCATCTCAACTTATGTCTCATATGCCGGTGCATGCCGACACCGTTCATCGGGGTATACTTGAAATCTGTCAATGGATTCGTAGATCCAGACACATTTAGGATAACATCCATTGTAGACTAGTAACATACTGTCCATCATTCTATTATTTCTGATTGTAGGACATCCTAAAAAGTAAAAAAGTTCCGGCACTCTCCACTAACCAGACTTGAATCTGGCACTAGGAACCCAACTACTCGGATATGCTAATGTGAGCCCCTCTAGGAACAACCTAAGCTTGACTACCAGATTTGAATAAGGTGCATATCCTATCGATGCCGCATCTCCAAAACCCCCTTTTCGAGTCTCAATGGAAGTTCAAGAACATGCGAAGAGCAAAGAGTGTTGGGCAACCCCAAGTGCAATCGTCAATACCTAGCTTAAAGAGCTCCAGGTTTCAGAAAATTGCTAGGTGCATAATGGCCTGTATGGCCATGTTGTTGCGATGAACAAGTCTTCGAGGTTGGACTTTATGGAAGGTTATATGGAAGACGATTTCAAAGGATTGAGGAAGGATGGCTGGTCGAAGAGGTTCGATACATTATTAATCTACGGAGTATTCCGTACACCGTGCTCGGTCCGGAGTATATAGTGGGTGCTACGTTGTGGAGCATAGATGCCTAATCTCCACTCCAGCTCTGAAGAGTATATGGTACGATGTATCTAGGCACATCAAGTGTGTACAGAATGCGGCATTTGTATTAATTGAATTGATATAATATCCGCTTGGTCATATAATCATATACTAATATACTAATATAGTGATATAGTGCTTAATATAGTAACCTGGAAAGAAAATGCAAGCCTCCCGCGTGGCGGCTTGATTCATAATGACGTAGTGAGGCGGTGGCACCCCAGGTGACTCCGGAGCTATCTGCTTCAATAAATTCCGAACTCGCGAGGAAGAGAAGATTGAGCATTGACATGGTTGCTCAGTTGTATTGGCAAATTTCCAATATAATAATCAACTTGATATAGTATTTTAGTTACTAATTGCTTGGGAAGTTCTCATGCTAACATCCGTTCTAGCCGATAAATTCGGCAGTTTGGCCCAAGCCGAAGCCGCTAAGTGGTGGGTCTAGACGATCGTAGTTGCATTCGGCGCTCCTTTTTTGGTCAAGTTTTTATAAACAAATTGCCCGCTCTTGGATGGCAAAAAAGTTTTTTCCCCTACATAATCCAGGCACCCGGTACCTTTCCGATCTTTCTGACAGTCCCAACGGGTGAAAAAAGTGACTGCAGCCAAGAAGATCTGCAAGATCGGCCCCGACTATAACCTCCGAATTGACAAAGCGGTCACCACTGGCAATATGGCCGATCATCTGCCTGAGGCCGAAGGGTCACATCTATCGAGCGAAAAACCACGGACTTCAGCTGAGATAGAGAGACAGATTACGTCAGATTCTATTGGATCGTCAACTGGCTCGAGCATCTCCTCTGCATATGACCCGCAGGTGCATCGACTACAATCGCGGAACACAGAGCTGGACTTGGAACGTCATCGGACTGGAACATCGAGGGCATTGAGCAGGACTGAGACACAGCGCGCCCAACATGCGCTCACTGTCGGCGAGAGTCTTCGGTCGCGCCCATCGCGGGTCCCATTGCCAGCTTTTGGTGGGGGCAAGCCCTACCCCCCACCTCTCCCTGAACGGGAGGATTATGTTGTGGAGTTCGATGGGCCTGATGACCCGTTATACCCGCTGAACTGGCCTGTGAAGAGGAAGTGAGTCATCTCGCAGTGAATTTTCCCATTGTACTGCGTTTTCCATTTACAGCGTTTATACTCCGATACTAACTTTTCTACGCCAGGTGCTACATTAGTGCCATCCTCGCTTTCACCAGTATTTGCTCCACCTTCGATTCTGCCGTTTTCAGTGCTTCATCTAGTAATGTGTCGAAACACTTCAGCGTCGGCCTCGAAGTCGCCATTCTCTCCAGCTCTCTATACATCATCGGCTACGCCTCAGGCCCCTTGATATGGGCTCCCCTATCCGAACTCCAAGGCCGTCGTATCCCCATTATCATCGCCATGTTCGGATTTGGAGTCTTCAACATCGCAGTGGCAGTCGCAAAAGACTTGCAGACACTCATGATTAGCCGATTCTTCTGTGGTATCTTTGGCAGTTGTCCCTTGGCAGTTGTGGCTGCTGTTTTCTCTGATATCTGGGACAACCGCTCCCGTGGTGTTGCCATTGCCATGTTCTCCTCAACGGTGTTCCTAGGTCCTCTCCTGGCACCTTTCATCGGAGGTTTCATTAACATGTCCTATCTCGGCTGGCGCTGGACCGCCTATATCCCCGCTTTCATGGGCTTCGCCGCTTTCCTTCTGAACATTTTCTTCCTGAAGGAGTCATACCCACCTGTTGTCCTAGTGGCTAAGGCCTCGGAGCTACGCCGCCGGACCAAGAACTGGGGAATCCACGCGAAGCAAGAGGAAATTGAGGTAGATCTTCGAGAGCTGATCATAAACAACTTCTCTCGCCCGCTTCGACTGCTGTTTAACGAACCTTTGATCCTAGCCGTCACCATCTACCTGAGTTTTATTTATGGGTTGCTATACTGCTTTTTGACCGCCTACACCTTGGTCTTCCAGGGTGTTTACGGTATGAACGCTGGTGTTGGAGGTCTCCCACTCTTCGGCATGGTGGTCGGCCTATTCACCGCTGCAGCTTATATCATCATCTCCAGCAAGGCGTACAACAAGAAACTCGACATGAATGGTGGTGTGCCCGTCCCCGAGTGGCGTCTTCCGCCCGTGATACTCGGCGGTGGTCTCTTCGCTGCTGGGCTCTTCTGGTTCGGATGGACTGGTTTCAACGGTACCATCCACTGGATCGTGCCTACCCTAAGTGGCCTATTTACTGGATTTGGCCTTCTAATCATCTTCATCCAATTGTTCAACTATCTGATCGACACATATCTCATGTTGTATGTCACACTTTCCGTTCCCGCAACTTGTGGACTTTTCTAACATATTATACAGCGCCGCATCAGCTATCGCAGCAAACACATTCTGCCGCTCAATGGTGGCAGCCAGTTTCCCGCTTTTCTCGCGCCAGATGTTCCAAGGAATGGGTATCCAGTGGGCTTCTACGCTTCTCGGATGCGTTGCGGCCGTCCTTGTTCCGATTCCCATTGGGTTCTACTTCTTCGGTAAGAGGCTGAGGATGAAGAGCAAGTTCGCGCCATTTTATGAAGCTGTCCAGGAAGGGCATGCGGCTGAGAGTGCCGAAGAACAGGCGGAGGATGTTGTGCACCGGTAATGAACATATAATTGATTTGGTCTTGTATATAATCATATTCCCGTTAGGGAAACGTAATTATTAAAAGTCGATATTTTAGCGTCTATGTCATGCATTTCTCAATGAAGCAATCTTGATTCAAACATCTTCTATTCTTCGGTATGGCAGGAAAACCGCTCTGTCTATAGGTCTTTTCTCAATCCGTGTAGATATTGAGGGATGCATATCATGGAATCGATTTAGCCCTACTTTTATATGTCCTTTGTTACCAATTTCATGGCAAATTGCTACGCAAAATAACATTTCAGTCGCAATCAAACAACGTTACCACAAGTCCAGTTGAAGGCATCTGCTATTTATATTATATATCAACGGTACTTGAGTATTATAATTGCCTTCGACGCGTTGAGGATACACTTTTATATTTTGACAAGACTCTTGGTTTATAAAGCTAGTTCTGGATCCAGCCCAGCTTGCTCGGACTATCTATTGGGTAACAAGTAACACGAAGCTCTACCAGCGGGAATTTCGGTATTTAAATCATGTCAGACAAGATTAATTCCTGCAACTGCGACATTTAATGTGAGATTAAGTGGCGTAAGGATGTGATTTGGTTGTAACCCCATTTTGACCTAGATATATCTGACGAGGATGGGTATGAAATATATATATATATATATAACTATAAAATCTCAAACAGAGACCATATCCAAATCAGTACTAGCTCACTGCCTAAATAAATTAGTTTTCTATACATAGCCCGCATTTTCAAGTTCGCAAGGTATATAGGTGGGGGCCTCCAAAAGATGGTGACCTTGGTGTTGAATTGAGTAACACACGCAGCAAAAGAGGGCCGGCTGTAGTTTTTACTCGCACACTACTTTAACCAGAGCCTGATGTATCATTGCATCTGAATTGCTCGATGCACGGCCTATTATTCCAATATCGCCCATCTCATCTATTTCCTCGATACTATCACTGGGGTGGCCCTATGTACAGATGTTTGTCTTTCCTCTTTTAGGTTAAAACTCCTTTATTTCGACCGTTGAAACATATATATGAGGTGCTAACCTTCGAACAGGGGCTCTCAGCTCTTTCTACAATCATGTCAAGGCCAATCCTGTAAATGCATCTAATGTCGCCTCTCTTGATATACACGGCCCACAGCAAAATGCTACCTATTGTGTTCCATGGATTCCAAATGTAAGTTCGACCATGGGCCAATTTAGCGATGAAAAAATAAGAATATGTTGACTAGATGTTCATTGTTCACGAATAGTGCGCAGAAGGACTACAATGCTGTTTCTTCTTGTGTACAGACACAATGTCAAACACAGGGAACTGTGGAGGTTGTGGTGCCATAGTATGTCCTGATTGCATTATATTATTCCACGGGCATCCTTTTCTTACATGTAATCTTATAAATAGTGCGTCGTTGGCTCACCACCAACCTGTTGTGACGGAGTCTGTGCGGATTTGAGCTCGAGTGTTGATAATTGTGGGGCGTGTGATGCACCAACAGTAAGTACAAGATCAAGTTCTTTGAGATATCGGGCATTGTATAATATTTTATCAACACCTTATTTCAATAGTGCACTGGAACCCAACCCGCTTGCTGTTCTGGTGCGTGCAAAGATCTCGATAACAATTTCGCCAGCTGCGGTGCATGTGACTTAACTGTGAGTAAAGCCCCATTTTGACTGGAGTATATGGCTAGCGCAACATTGGATGTCTATCTGCTAAGAGATATTTTACTGAGTAGTGCACCGGACAAGTACCAGCGTGCTGCTCTGGCTCCTGCTTTGATCTCGCCAATGATCCCCAGCACTGTGGTTCTTGCGATGCATCACCCTGTCTTGGACAGCAGGCTGGCTGCTGTGCGGGCACATGTACTGATTTTGCGACCTCAACTACTAATTGCGGTTTTTGTAGTAATACGGTAAGCTGAATGCCTGTTTATCCCATTACTACACGGAATCACTCACTTAGCAAATATACATCGTAGTGTAACGGAACTACACCAGCTTGTTGCTCTGGGACTTGCAGTGACCTGAGTAGCGACCCCCTCCACTGTGGCTCTTGCACAGCCCTCCCTTGTCCTGGTCTCAACCTCGCCTGTTGTTCGGGGACATGCACTGATGTCGCCTCAAATGTCAATACTTGTGGAGCTTGCAATCGTACTGTGAGTCAACGACAGCCCTACCTTGGAATAATATCAGCCTCCATAGTGACTACCTTGCTTATATGATACCATGAAATAGTGCAGCGGTGCGAGCCCTGCATGCTGCAGTGGATCCTGTGCAGATCTAGCCTTCGATCCGAATCATTGCGGTTCTTGCTTAGCTTTACCATGCGTCGGACTCCGACCAGGCTGCTGCTTTGGCCTATGTACTGACCTAGCTATTAATCCACTTCACTGCGGGACATGCAATACAACGGTAATATTTCCTAGTTTGCCTATCAATTAACTCAGACTATATTTAGGTGACTATATTAACAGCCCAAAAGTGCCAACCAAGTCAACCAACCTGCTGCTCCGGAACCTGCGCCAACACAGCCACTGACCCAAACAACTGTGGTATATGCGACGCTAAATGCACAGGCACCCAGCCCACTTGCTGTAACGGGGTATGCATGGATATTAGCACAGATCCAGCCCACTGTGGCAGCTGCACAGCCCTCCCCTGCCTAGGCTCTAGACCAGCATGTTGCTCTGGCACCTGTACAGATCTGGCGACTGTTGTCCACTGTGGATCTTGCACAGCAAATCCATGTACTGGTGTCAATCCAGCTTGCTGCTCGGGGACATGTGTTGATCTTAATTCTGACACTAACCACTGTGGTTCTTGTTCCGCTTTTCCGTGTGGTGGAACACAGCCTGGGTGTTGCTTTGGGGAGTGTACAGACCTATCTACCAGTTTACAGCATTGTGGATCTTGTACCGCTGCACCATGTACGGGCTTGCTGCCGGCTTGCTGTGGTGGGACGTGTACTGATTTGACGACTGACGCGAAGCATTGTGGATCGTGTAGCACAGCTGTACGTATTCACCCCCCCACCAACTCCATCTCATCGGGTACTTTCTATGGCATTGGATGGAAATACTAACTGTTATCTTATTTAATAGTGCAATCTCGGACCAGGAGGTGGAGGCTGTGTCGAAGGAAATTGCACCAATTGCCCTAAGAGCGAGCCTTTCTGTCAATCGTCGAACACATGTGTAAGTTCCCAAGTGTGCCATTCTAGGTCCCTAAACTAATCCTTAAAGTGCCCCGCCGGATTCACGTGTATCAATAATGGCCCTTTGCCTGGATGCTGTGGACCATTAAATACATGTCCCCCAATATCCAATCATCTTGGTGATCCCATATGTGTAAGTGACGCACTAGACTCACCCGACTCGGCTTCCTGACAGGGGTAAAACAGTGTCCATTGCCATGTACTCTTATTATCGCGCACCTGGTTTGTATAGGATTCTAGCTGAATCTTGTTGTAAGTTCGAGCTGGAAAGAGATAGCGAGAAAAAAGGGATCCAAATAAATGGCCTACGGACTACAGACTGTGGTATATTAGTATATCATAGCAAAATTCGGATGCTCATGATGCGTTTGTTCATATTATATATGCTATGTATGATACGATACGCTCGGTGATATATTAACATTTATAAATACCCGAAATGAATATGCAGACGGAAGTCTCGTTATGTTCGTGACAGGTCATTATCAAGAGGACTCTTTCATCCAAGGCACCTCGACATCAAGGGCGTTCGCCACCCTCGTCGCAGATGTGAGACACCCCTCGAGCAGAACCATCCCATCCCAGCACCAACCGCCGACGAGCCAGACATTTCCATCTCCATTCCGCCAAAGCTGGCTCTTATCATCTCCAGACGTCTTCTGGCTGAAGATCTGGTTGATGATTTGTCTGCTGGTGGATGATCGCAAAACACGAGTGAATGTGGCAGTGTACAAGACCTTCTCAGGGTCAATCGGAGAAATGGGATAAGTCGTAATAAGAGCGGATGACGGATGTTCATGAATCGTTTCAGTCGCTGTAGCACCTGAGCACATGTGGAGGGGGTGAGGTGGTGATTCGCCGGGGGCCAGGGACACTTGCGCCCAGAGGGATTTGCTAGAACTTTGAATCCGAGAAAAGTCGCGGTGCACAACGGATTGAACAGTCGTTGTGGGAACAGCCTTCATCGCGCTTCGGAGAGGCTCAAAAATGGCGCCAACTACGTCGGGCGTCACGGCAAGAACCACATGGTCAAATAGCCGTGAGCTGCTCTGACCATCACGGGTATCTATCCAGCTCACTTGAACTTTTGTGCCGATATTCTCGACCGCTGTGACCTTCATACCAAGTTTATATGACAAGCCTTCGGACAGTTTATTCTCGACATGCTGAACCCCACCAAGAACTGTGTAGTGATTCTTACGGAATGTGCGTCTCCCATAACCGACCAGATCAAGAGCTGGGAAATCCATTAGCGCCTCGTGTGAGCAAGTTGCAACGCTTGCGAAGACCGGCAGGAAGTAGTTTTTCAGGTAGTAACTGGGCAACATAATTCTTTCCACGTATTGTCGCAGAGATTCCTCCGTGCCAGACGACTCCACCGTTTTGGGGGCTACAAAGAAGCAGCAGGCTTTGAACCAATAGTAGCATATTGCCAGGTAGCACACCTCGATCAGCCACCCGGTCCATGATAAGCCATCCGGGCGCAAGGGGGGTAGTTGGTGGTTATTCGAGGCATGCATGTAGTACGGAGAGGCTTGTTTTGTGGAATTCTCCGGTAGTGTCGACAGGGAATAAATGAACCGTAGCGAGCCATACGGGATACCGAAATAATCGTACATGCGCTTGAGACTTTCGTAGTATCCGTCGGCGAATGTGCGCATGGGAAGATCGAGGCGTTCAGGCTTCGCTCCGCCATCCTGATTTGGGAGGTTGTATGACGCGGAGTCGAGCGAAAGTTTGTCTTGCTGTGTGTTTGGTGAGATTAGGTTTACTGCGCGCATGCGGTGTGGCAGGGTGGGAGGTTTTTTTTACCTTTTCGAACACTTCGACGTCAAATCTCCCCCGAGGATCGTTTCTGAGCATGTATGCGACAACTAACCCAGCCATGCCTGTGCCAATCACGGCAACATTTTTGCGTTCGGTCGCCTCCATGGTGAAGGAGGGACAGGTTCACAGTTTCAGGCGAGGAAGAGCGTATATAGTCCCCGGATCGGAGAGATGAAGAACCTTGGAAGTTATGATGAAATTCGCTTAAAACAGAAGATGACCATGGGCATCATGCAACTTTCAACATTTCAACCTTGGCCTCGAGACAAAGTTAATCGCTGACCCACATTTTTCGTGAGCTGAGACCATACCTCGGTCTAATTTCTTATGCACTCTTGTCTATCATACAAAAGTACAATAATGCATTTTATACATATCATCCATCACATGACAAGTCGATGCTATCGATGAGTACGATCACGAACCCCTAAAAACCCTAAAATAACTGGCATCGTTCGGAGCAGAAGATAATAAAGAACAAAAATTATAAATAGAGGAATAAATCAACGTCAAGCCTTAGTATGAACGAAGCATGAGTTTAGTATACGGGAAATAGAGTGGCTAGTAGTCCGTATAGAAGCCTATGTTATATTTAAGCTGCAGTGTGTTATCTTGTCCTCTCTTTTCAAAAAAATCAATTCGTCTGAATTTGACAACCTTGAAAGTCTTGGCTCAGATAACCTTAGAACCTCCCTGAGGATCAACGCCCAGATGACATAATCGGGTTCATCTCAATCCTTATCGGATTATCATCACGTGCATCTTTGTTGACGCGTGATTTGGAATTTAGACTCGAGAAGAACTTGGACAAGCAAGGGAACAGATCAAGATATGGATCTAGAGGCATGTGCCTGCTATTGATATAAGACTATCTTGAACACCCCCATGTATTGTGACAATACCTTGTGAATTACGGCCATGGCGCGTCCTAAAGCAGTTCGCGCCCCGACAACAGCGAGTCTTCCGAATAACCTCCGCATTCCCTCATCGACTCCGTCCCTCACAAAATCCCTGGGAAAACTATCCAGACAAGCACTGCTGGACCTGGCTTTTACATGGCTTGACGATCGCAACATTGCCTCATTCCCACCATACCTACAGGCCGACGAAGAAGATAGCCCCGACAATGACGAAGCCCTCCCATACCCCGCGGAGGAGACAATCGAAGGAGTCCGCCAGGTATATGAAGATCTGCAGGACCGAAAGGGTGCAAAGCGCGAAGTTCTCGAACGAATCCTAGAAGGTGATTGGCGGCATGGAATCACACTGCGCCAGCTAGCCATGGCAGACCTCCGCTACATGGACGACCACCCCGCCAGCCTTCGATGGACCGCACTTGAGCTCAGTCGTATTGATACCAAGAAAAAGAAATCCACACACTCCCCACCCGCTGACTGGTCCGGTTCTGTACCGCGCATGCAAGCGGCAACATTTGTGCAAGGCCTCCAACGAGAAATCTCCCCATTAGTCAAAGCCCACTACCACCTCGCCCACTCGGCAACACTGCCGCTGACATTCTTACGTATCTTCGTCGTCGACTCACCATATCAATCCCCTAGACAGGCAGCCGAGATCTTCACGGACTCGTCCCGAGTCATCTACGTCGCTTTCCCGGATAGTTGCCCTTATGTCTACACTTCCATAGCAGCATCCACTGGATCAAAAGCTGCTCCTTCGCCAAGTTCAGTGGCTACTGATACCAGAACTCTTCAGCGTCTGGTGCGCGATTCCATCCCCAAAGCTTTATCTCGCCCACAGGAACGATTTTCTCTGCAGGCGACATCCCTGGCAGCAAAGAACCTGCCTACACTCCTAGCCCTCCGAGGACCTGGGCGATCAACAGCATCAAATGGTGCCTTCAGCATCTTTGCAGACGCAGCCATTGAAGGAAGTCCACTGGACCCTCGACCTTCCAATACTGTTTCGCCTGAAGAACATATTCAAACGAGTCATTCCAGTCCAGTAGAAGGAAAGGAAAATACAAATGGCTCAGTGGCAAAACGAAGATCCAGCGGTATTGATACCGACCCCGCTTCTCCAGATTCGAAGAAACGTCGTCTTGCCATCCACTCCCGATTCGGAACATTGGGGTCGTCACTCGCCCCGGCACCGCTGGACCGTCTTGATATCCGGCTCCTCGACAAACCGAACTCGAGGGATGAGCATGATAATGATGTTGACGATTCTACGTCTACGCTACCTGCCGTGTCACTCACCTTTTCGGGTTCCGACGTCATCGGCGGGATTCGCAAACTTGCTGAGCTAGGCATCGTTGACCCTGAGCGTATGCCATCGTGGATGACTGGCGAAGAAGGTGTTAGTGTTGCGACTGTTCGGCTGGGTCAACGGATTCAAAAAGATATATAGAAAAATCTGTGTTTGGTGTTCTTGGATTTTGGGAGTTGAGAAGCTTGATGCTTTTTTTTTTGTTTCTTGGGCCGTTGGGGCTTGATGTGATACCCGGATTTGAGATCAATGGATCATTTTGTTACTTTCCTGTCATTTTTGGCTTTAGTAGAAGTGAATTTGTAAGGTGTCCCAATGAAATGTAGCAGCAATTGTATGTAGCTTACAATCGACATTGCAGATTGTAGAAAAAGATATTAGATTCATTTGGGTGTATCCAGCATAAAAAAACCATCCCATTCTAGCACTAAACACCAGTACTCCGCCGAGAAAAGAACAACACAATTTGACACCCGTCATTGCAGGCCGGGTAATGGAGCAACCCATGCTTGGGTTCGCACCGGTAAGAGTGAGCATCACTCAACGATAGATTTCTCAAAGACAAACTGACTGGAAGTAAAAGGCCATTTGATAACAAGACACCACAACAAAAGACAATTCCGCAACATAACGGTTTCTCAATCTCGCATGCCCATACAGGTGTGTATGAAGGCAGATCGCCTATTCCAGCCCGGGAGGCACAGGAGCTCCTCTGGGAGCCATAGATCAAGATTTGTGATGGGATTTTAAGGGTAATCGCATACTGATCCAGCCATGGCAATTAGAAACTAGTTGTCATCGACGTTCGGATACATCATCTTACTCCGACGTTTTTCAGCGTCGACAGCCTTTGCGGTGGGACGGGGGTCTCGGGTTCATTGCCCTTCCATGGGACTTTGCTATACGCGGACAATTGTTATATTTCAAGTTCTTCCCTAGGATTCGTACAAGTTGTCATCACTTACCAGTAGAGACAACAAACAACACTGTCGGACGCCTGAATAGCGGCCCTCCATTTCTCGAAACAACCCTGATGAAAATTGCTGCCGCAGTCCTGACACCAAGTAGCTTTCTGCTTGGGCTTGAAGTCGTTGAAACAAATTGGGCATTCACCATCCACCGGTTTTCTTTCACTAGTGGAGGTAGGGTTAGTCGTATCCAGTTTTCGCTTCATGGATAGCGTGGCAAGCATCTGACGTAGCTCCTGAATAAGCAAGTTGGTTAGGAATATGTATAGAGAGAAGGGTGCCGAGCTAGGGGTTGCAAAGACTCACAGATGGCAAAAATGACCTCTGGTATCTTAATTCGTTGGGAACATCCATCGCAGATAGAACTTGGCAACATATTAGCAAAGAACGGAGAGTAGTTGTTGAGCTTTACGGAACAGAGTAGGTATGTATCTGCTGGGTTGGCTGAGACTTACCAAAGCACATGTGCTTGCACTGCGCCTTCCGGAATCTGACGTCCGGACAGTCACAGGTAGGCAAGTTGCCAATGATGGTTCTGTAGATGTTGCCAGTCGACCCAACAACTTCGAATGAGATTTTGGGAACATCTTTAGTTCCGCTAATACCGTGTCTAATCATGTACATTCTAAAAGCAACCCTGATTAGCCAACCGAAGTATGCCATATTCGTCAATATTTACTTGCTTTTGGATTTTGATGCGTTGTTCTCTTTCTAAGAACCCATCGGGGGGCGAGTCTAGCCATGGAAGCTGGCGTTTCTCAGACATAAGTACTTGGAAGGCACTGGTAAACTGGATCGGGTTCTGGGCCACAGGCTTGTTGCTAGAACTAGTAGGGTGGACAGTGGGCTCGAATTTGATTTCAAAAATATCAAGGCGTGATGACAGCCTAGAAGAACAGGAAAGCTTTAAATATGAGAGGGACATTGATATATGGTTACTTCCATGATAGTATGAAATTTAGAATCTCTAAGAAGGAAAGTGAATTATGGACAAAGCATGCATTGCAACATGTATGCATTGTATCAAACAAAATAAAGAGGCCGCTCCAGGCACGTGAAGTGTCATATGACTTTGCATGAAGTCTCACGAAGTAGTATGAATGGGCTTTGTTCTCAGTCGTTTTGTTCCCGCTTTCGCTTCAGCTTTGTCATTATTATACAATTACCTTTGTTGCGGTGATCTATACAGAAATATACAGTAAACAGAAGACCTTATAGAGGGTAGCAAATCTATATCATGTATGTAGGTACACGTATATACTCAGCCCTAAAAACTCTTGGAGGCTCCTTCTCCATTAGGTGGTAGATGCTCTGCTTCCCGTGAAAATATGATACCAATCAAATACGCTGCATATCGATAGACTTAGAGCTGAATGCTTTGGGCAGATATCTATATGGGGCTAGCCAGTAAAAAGAGACGAATAAGCTACAACATTTGAAGTCCCAGGTGGTAGACTATTTAGGAAAGAGCAAATGTTTGCACTGTTTGTTTGGGGTAGCTTCCCTATCGCTATCAGCTCGTGGAGAACTGTGGACTTGTCCCTCTTTCATCAACAAGATGACGCTATACTGCAAAGCCCCGGATTGCAGGTGATTCTTTCCTTCATTTACACATTGTCTCCCTAGAGCTTATATTCGAACTTATTCTCCATGTCACGTCCAAGAGCTTTATCGGGCGCTGATGCTCCGAAAGAACCACATTTGGTCTCTCTCAAAGGTATGTGAATACAACCCACACTTGGACTAGCAAACTAATTATGGATTGATTAGTGTTGCGGTAATTTCAATTATCAATATCCGTTGTGTTGATGGCAGCTCCTGACTCTCAATACGCAGCCTTGCGCGACCGTCACTTTCTTATCAGCATCCCCTCCCGACGTCAAACACCATAATCTCCTCGAAAGCGTCATTAAGCTATCCGTCCGGTGACTCCGATGATCAATTCATTTTAACACCTCTTGTGAGATGGCTACCAGGCACACCCAATAAACAGTTCACTAACGTCAATAGCTTACTCTGCCTCCCTCCTTCGGATCCGTCTACGTCGGAGAAACCTTCGGATGCACACTCAGCGCGAACAATGAGATCCGTGATGATGACAACGACAGACTAGTCACATCGGTGCGCATAGTAGCGGAAATGCAAACACCTTCGTCGGTCACGGCACTGGAGTTAGAGCCGCCCAATGACTCTGCATCAACAGACGGGCTCAAGATCGGCGAGTCATTACAAAAGATTGTACGGTTCGATTTGAAGGAAGAAGGAAATCATATACTAGCTGTCAGTGTCAGCTATACGGAGACAAAGATCGGTTCAGACTCGCAGGCGGCCAGTGGCCGGGTTAGGACCTTCCGAAAGTTATACCAGTTTGTGGCACAGCCCTGTTTGAGCGTTCGTACCAAGGCGTCCGAACTTCCGCCGCTCGAGGTAAATAATAAGTCACTCGGTCCATACGGGAAAACGAGGTTACTTCGGTTTGCCCTTGAGGCACAACTGGAAAACGTGGGTGAGGGCGCAGTGGTAGTCAAGGTATGAATTTCCTATCAATCCTTAGCGAACGAGTGGATTTTCCACGGCGAAGCGCGGCTGTACCTAAAAACTGGGATGGGCCGGAACTACTCAACAATTTGGCTAACATCGGGGGATGGATAGCAAACGAAACTAAATCCCAAGCCACCGTTCCAATCAAAATCCCTAAATTGGGACACCATAAACCCGGACATGTCACCCGCAGCACTGCCTACCCTCAATCCACGGGATGTCTTACAGGTAGCATTTTTGGTGGAACAAGAAGAGGGCCAGAGCGAGGGACTGGAGACACTCCAGAAGGACCTGCGACGGGACGGTCGTGCCACGCTGGGTCAGTTGTCGATTGAATGGCGCGGTGCTATGGGAGACAAGGGGTTCCTGACGACGGGCAACCTGATGAGCCGGAAACGCACCTGAAACTCGGTGTGCAACAACCCACCGGATCGCTTCCGCTACTGTATTACAATGTGGACGCCGATTTGTTTTACTGCATCCAGCCGCCGGGTTGCATGGAGGGCGCCGCAAGGGCGGTTTGTACACATTTCCAATGGCCCACTTACACAATATTACCATTGGCATTGGCAGCAGCGTCCTAGATTGAGGGAGTGTACAGTGTAATATAATGGGCTCCGAAAATACCCACACAATCTACGTAGGCCTGACTCACTGCCCGAGGCTCTGGAATAGAGTCTGGTGCATTGGCCGAGTTCCCTAACGCCACCACGGAGCGGAAACCAGCTGGAGCCTATGCAGCCGACGCTTAATTTTTTTTTGTCACACGGCAGTTGCCTCTCGGCAAGGAAGCTCTGGATATTCGCACACTTCGGCCAGGCATTTGCTCCACTCCCCATAGGGCTTGCACAAAAGGGCCAAAAAAAAAAGAAACGGGAATTCGTCCTTGGCCCAAGGCCACGTATTCTACGGGATGCTACATTTATAAATGATATTTCGGGTATGTGTACATGCAAAGGTCTGTTAGAGTCCAGATCCGATAATTATGGAGTTATAGAATGAGTCTAGACTCTGGTTGATCATTGGAGTTCAGCTGTTCACATTTGTTGCCCGATCTGTAAAGATCATTATCTACAATCTATGTCTCACATAAACTTCTATTTTAATTTCACTCATCCTTCTATAATTAAATTTTTATTATGTTTTTATGGGTTGCGGAGATATATGGAATTCGGGCTACAATCTGTTGCTCTGCTCCCACCGCCTCTTCTCTCCAACCAAATACATACTGTCGTATGCAAGTACTAATGCAAACGGGGAGATGGTTGGAATAACCTTGCCCGGAATCCTGGGATGCGACCAGTCCAAAAGGGCTATCGGTGCAGGGGAGACCCCTGTGTCACGTAGGGGTATCAGCCGTGCTCGGCGTGTTGAACAACATGTATCTGGACTATACTCTGTACTAGTAGTGCAGAGTAAGTATACTCCGCAGTGGACTTGGAGACTTGTGGATTTGTGGATTTGTGTTTATTAGTCTATGGATAGTATTGAGATAACTACCCACATAGTTTGTTGTAGATATAGTACTCTGAATATAAGCATGTAGAGATCCTCAGCTGACCCAAAGGAATACTGCCACTGGAACGAACTGCAGGATTTCCTGTAATCAGATTATTTTTATTTTGATTATTATTATAAAATCGATACCATGGAAACTGATACACCCAAGCGATGCTTTCTTTCACCATTTGCTCCACCTTGTCCAACTGTAGTATCGATCATCTCCCCGGGACAAGTCACTCCACTTGGTGACTCCTGACTCGAAATTCTCAATTGATTTTATGCAAAATTCCTTCTACGGAATATTCTACTGCGTAGAATAAATTGGAATAAACGTTGGGGAATATATACATAGAAAAGAAAAAAGAAAAAAGAGAAAAGCCGTTGAGCAGACTCCGCAATCTAAAAAGGAATTTTCCCACGAGGGAAACGGTAAAGTAGAAGCCTACTCCGTACAAACTCCCAAGACCTCGGTTCCCGAGAATCTCCCCCTGAAAGTCATATAAAAAAAAAGAATGATATTGTGGCGTATCAATCTAAAAACCCCTAAAAAGAAAGTTCAGGTCTCAATGTCTCACCAGAAAATGAAGCCCTCATCTAGTATGTAGTACTCCGTACTCGTACTATATCAGTTGAACTTCGTTAAAAAAAGGATCAGCCAAGACCCGCTTGCATTATCCGAAGCTCAAAGCTCAACCATGGATCACGGGCCTCTAACCCCCTGGGGCTGATACAATAGTTCTTACTTGGTCCTTTTTCTTTTGTAAGTCATTTATATAACATGTGTAGGTATTAAAATAGGGGAAGACCCAAGTATATAACCATATAGCCGTTAATATAGACATGCACTCTGTATAATGAACTGGTATTATCGGTATCTACCCCGGAAGTCTGGATCCCTTTAGAGTCTAGGTACATGCAGGTTACAGTGTCAAGTACTGCATGGATGCTAGGGCTGTGAATGGCCCGGGCCCTTGACTCTTCTAACCTGGCTTGGGGATTCGACACAGGCAACTCTTACCATTTTTATACAGTGGAGTACTAATACTAACTAAGTAAACATGTGCGCACATTTAAATGTCGGGTTCTACATTACCACACGTCTACGCAACCACCCGTTATTCTAGGGGGAAAAAGAAAAGAAGGGGGGAAAAAAAAAAAAAAAAGGAAAAGATCAAAATATTATATGAAGACTTGGAAAATATTTGGGTAGAAAATAATATATCAAAATACAATAAAAAAGAATAAAAAGAATAAAAAGATAATCACAAATCTCCCTTTTTTTAATACGTTTGACCTTCAAACCACACCCCCAAAATTGATCTTCACTCTGAACTGCCCCTCCCTCCCGTTCTCCCCCATTTTTATCAGCTTCCCCCCTCCCGACTACATGCGCTCAATTCTGCGCATTCCTTTTCCTGGAAGTCTTACGATCCATGTGGTGACAATTAAGGTATTAACCTGCTACAGTCCGCCGTGACTATCTCCACAATGCCATCGTCAAGCACCTCGGAGGGCGCCCCCTCGCCGATTACTTCTGGATAGCCGGTGTGGATGGTACAGAGATCTTGGACACCTTCCAGAGATTGGGAGAAGATTACCGTGCCAATGGTGCCGCATCCCCAGGCCCTGCGCTCGCAGACACTATTCAGGAGGACGCCGATGCGGAGGAGGAACATAACCCAGATGGGGTCTCCCGACCAAACTCAACGCTCTTCGCCGGCGCCGGTCACAGGGGCTCGGCTCAACGACTATCCACGTTCTCAAAGACCTCGGAGGGAACAAATGGTACTGGCAGTAACAGTAACCGGAGCAGCATGACCGTCAAGGGTGCCTCTTCGCCTCTGCGAGCCTCAGCCTTGTTCTCCGAGGACTTCGATTTCG